CTATGTTTACTTCTTACTTTTGCTAGGGAACTACAGAGCTTGCACGCCGGGCCTCTGCAGGCCACACAACACTACAGCCTTGTGTTGCTGCAGCACATGGTGTGCTTTGGCCATTTTCAAGATCTATGGCCATGAGATATTTCAAGGTGAGATGGGAACTGAGTGGGAGGCTTCTGTGTTCATTCCTGGTCATTAGGATGGCCTTGGGACTCTGGGCAGCCTTCTTGTCCCAGCCCTATGGACTCAAAAAGGTTCCTTTAATTACCCATTACATCCTTACTGTAGTTGAAACACAGCAGAAGATCCAGTTTAGAGAACTTCTGGGGCTAGAGAAGAATTCATTTGACTTTCTTCTTGCAAATAATTTTACTGACCACCATTTAAGGCATAAAGTGAAGGCCAGAGCACAAAATTAGAAGATGGCTTTGCAAGCTGTTAAAGAACTCTGACAGGTACTTACATCCAATCTTCTTTAATGTACACAGAAGAAGATTATAAACGTTCCATCAGCTATTCTGCTTCCTGTATTATTTGGAAAGTGATTAATTTCCCATTTTCTTGTTATCTGTTGAGGGCTTATTGACACTGTTTGTAGCAATGTTTTTTGTTTTAAAATCATGAAGGAGGTTGAGTGATTATCCTTGCTGAGCCTTATGTTGCTCTGAAAATGCTAGCTGAGTATGAGAAAAAGCAATAATGGTAGTCACTTGGGTGTAGAATGGCTGACAATCAGGAAACTGAAAACTACTGCTACTATTAGATTGTAATAGCTCATGAAATGTGCACCAGACATTGAAAGGCAAACAGGTAGTCAGCATCATCCACCAAAATGCAAATTACCAAACGATGATGAAAGGAAATCAGATAGACTCAAGGTTTTTCCTGGAGAGTAAACTCAACTGGAACAGAACAACTGGCACCATCAAGAAAGGGAAAACAGATGCATTGACTTCTTATTTGTGGATTTTATTATAACCCGCTGACTGGGCCCTTGGTCATCTCCTATTTATATAGTTTATGTTTTAGTAGTGTAAAATGTAATGGCAGCATATTGGATGGACTGAATTTTAATTTTCATCTGCATTTTAATCACTGTGCAAGCTGGAGTTCTTTTATGCTTCAGCAAGATTTAACTACAATGTCTTTTTGATGTTAAAAAAAGGAGATTTCTTAGATTGTATCAAGGAGCAGAGAAGACACTTAGATCCCAGTCCCGCTGGTGAATTCTTAACATTTTGCATTTTGGAGGAGATCACTTCTCCACCCTTGAGAAACTGGAAACAAAGTCAAGGTCTGGCAAAGCTCCTGAGAGAACCTAGACAAAACATGTCCGTGGTAGCATTGTAGGCTTTGGCTCCATCCTCTCTAGTTAGAACAGAGCCTTCATTCACATAGCTGAGGAAAAAAGCCCTTTGGCTAGAGCAGCGTGTCTGAATATCTGTATGCCTGCAGCCTTCCTCACTGTAGTAATCTTCGATGTCCTTATTGAAAACAAAATGAATAAATAGCTTTAGAGCACTCCTTTGCAATAATCTTGGCATTGCTTTTTACTGAATTAACAATGAGCCTCTTTGATAATTTATGTGCCTAGAAAAGGAACACAAATAAGACACATTTCCAGGTAAATATAATAGACATGACATTTAATATCCTGTCTTTGTCATTTTCAAGTTATTTTTGGTGCATGTACAATAGAAGATGTCCATTCACAGAAAAATGAGTATGCTTGTAATAGAAAAACAATTGCTATTAAGGCATCTCCTAGCAGTCATTAGCATGTGAAGCTTCATTTTAAAATTAACAAAGCTGTTCCCAAGAGGAAGAATCTCAAGCAAATAACTGCGCTTATTTTTTGAAACAGATGGTAGCTTTTTGTGTCCCAAAGTGACTGTTGATGTTAGCCATAATGAGTGCCCACTTAGACTGAAGAAAAATGTCTTTGTTACACTTTACGATGTTCTCCAAGTGATAGACCAATCCTAAGGAGTTGATATTCCCCTATCCTGGCTTAGAAAGACGAAAGAGGGGGGAAAGAGAGAGGAGAAGAAACTACGCCTACACACAGGACAGTTTATACCTCTACAGTCGTAGCTTGTCATTTAAATCTCTATCGTATGCCTGTGTTATTCTGGACAGAACATTGCCTCAGTCTGAATATTTGTTGGCTCGTGTTTGCTGTGTGTCTACTTACTCCATTGCTATGCGACGGTGGCAACATCTGCATGAGCAGTGAAGAAACCATATACCATCTCCAGTATGGCTTTTCTCTGTTTAGAGGGAGAGGCTCGAAGCGAACTTTCAAGAAAAACTGCCCAGTCTGCTCTGAGGTAGAGTGAAACCTCAAGGTCAGAGAACATCCAAGTTCTGCTTTGTCAGTTTCTAGAGGTGAAATCCAGATGTCATACAGCAGGCTCAATCTTTTTGTGATTACACAAGTTTTTAATTTGTGGTGTGAAAAATATTGTTCCTTGTTTTCTTATGGGCTTGGTTGAGTAAGGAATTTAGCTTGCATAGTTTTGGAGTGTGGTTTGGTTTTTTTACTAACAGTATGTGATGAGTCTGAGGTTTTATATTTTTATGGCTAGTAGGATTTGACTACAGAATCTGAAGTTTTTGCAGAAAGACTAACGTGAGTTTTGATGTGAAATTTCTTTCTGTGCTGAAGACTGCTCTTTTTGTAGGGTGTTTTGTATATTTTTTTTGTTTTGTTTGTTTGTTTTAAGCACTGCTAATGTGAGACTTCTGTCCAGGGAAAAATAAATAGCCTGATTTTTGCTTGAAGGCAAGAATATATAATGGCAATTTTTCTCCTTTAATCGGAAACCTGGAGAGAACAAGAACAGCATATTGAAACAGAGAACGGACAAAGAGGAATTAGAACAACTAGTGGTGGTGAGATGCTTTCATGACAAGGATAAATAGCAAGGTACCTGGCTAAGGCCTTAAGAAGGGCTAAAGAATTAACCTGGTGAGTCCTTGGCTGAGAGGTATAGAAGACTCAATTTCATTTCCTCCTTTGGGATCTTGTCAACAAGAACCTTGGCAAGATACTTTGACTAATTCTGGAAAAGATCTGGGTACGTTTGCCTTCTTGCATACATCATTGCACTCTTAGAAGCACCATTCTGCTGCAGCCTAGTCCTGACTCTGCCAAATCACAACCATCTTTATTTTTTTACTGTAATCACTGTAAAGCACCTGACCCAGAAGTGTTGGGGTTTTTTTAGATAGGGCCGAACATCTCAGCACCTAACTTAACCTAGCCCACTTGAGCAGCAGAAAGTAGCCGCTCCTCTGCCAAACTTACTGGAGCTGCTTTCACAGCTATTGTGGACATCACCAGAGTTCGTAAAGAACAGTTAGCAGATTTAAAAATATAAACTGTTTTGGAGGAGGCCCCAGGTGACCTATGTCATATCTCTAGCTTGGACCCATCACCAGTTCTGGTTCCACTATCACAGTACCACAAGGTACTGGAAATTTTGTGTTCCAGTAGTTTCTAGGCCTTGGTCTAGTTCTTGTCTTCCATTTCCCATCAATAAATAGGGTCATTTGCCTACCTTATGGGATCCTACAAGGATAAGCATGAGATTGTGAAGCACTCAGACATTGTAGGTTGTAAGAGAGTGGCTGGGGAAGGAATATTGGGTTTATCTTGTGTTTGATAGCATTATGTGAACTGCTGCAGCTACAAATCCATACAAACTAAATGTGAAATAATCAGCTTTGCTGCATGCTGCCGATGGCCAGATCAGCACCTTTTCCATTAACACTTCTCTTCTCAGTGCTGTTGCCCAGTGTTTGCCAGGATATGTAGTAAGATTACTTTTTTTTTGAGTCTGGATGGTCTCGAAGCAGAGTGAAGTTACGGTAATGACAGTGGGTGAGTTTTGGACATTGAATAAAGAGAACGACCAATCCAGGTAGACAAGACTTGATTTTATTAATAAAATTTGTATTTTCCTCTTTGAGGCGACAGTTACAAACTTTGGTTCAAAAATAAAAGAAAATGTGACCAGCAAGAAGTTGACTTTTGAAATCTCACTTTTACATGTATAACGTGCATAAGAAAATACCAGTTGGAAATGAGCCAGCAGAAACTAGTACTATTTAATTTAACAATTTATAAGAAATAGAAACAAACATTTCTTTTCAAGTCTTACATATATTATGAAAAATAATTACAAAAGGATTTGTGTTGTAAAAGGATTTGTGTTGTAAAGCTAAAATGTAATTTCTACTTCCAACTACCTGAATAAAATGTTCAGAGGAAAGGCCAAACCAACATTATTTTTTTTTTTCTGAGATTTGAATAGCAATTTGTAACAGTTTGGGTCAAAGACAACTCTGTAGGAAGCAGTCCCCTCGTATGTTGCTTAGCAACTATGTAGAATCACATGACCTAGACATATTGCATCCCTAGCCTTCAGGTGAAATAACAGGAAAAAATAATTCATATTAATGGGATGGGCAAATATTGTATAGGACCATTCTGTGGAACTTTTAATATCCAGTTCAGGAAGCAAACATCCATCATTGCTTACATAAAAATCTAAAACACTGCAAAAATCCATAAATAACTGTTTAGAATCCAGTTTTAATATTTATGCAGACCAAATAAGCACAATGGAAACAAATTCAGATGAGATTTAAAAAAAAAGGAAAGCTATATGACTAATTTATTTCACACAGATTTTTAACAGATCTCTTACAGAGAAGTTTTATTTTTCTCTTACGTGTTTTCCCCACCCAAAAATATAAACTTGTTTATTTTAGGTATATACAGGTGTCTTATGAAATTATGGAATTAGAAGAGAAAATAAAAAGTCTGAGGTATAGCACCATGGAACACAGCACCTTTGAAGGTGCTTTCATTATTGATTCATCATCACAGAGTGATATCAGCAGAGGAGTTGTTTGAGTGTGCTGCTCAAGATCTTCCAGTTTTGCCACCTTAAGTTTTGTTGGCGACTTCAAATAACAAAGCTCTTCAACAACAATATATACAAAGGGATTTTATTATTAATCAGAAATGGAATTGGCTTCACTGGCAACTACAGCTTCATTTTTTTCAGAATACATACACAGTATTGACAGTGTAGTTTTGTAATTATAAAATAAGAGACAGCTTCAATTCCAATACACATGCAAGTTTTGGAAATGGACAGAAATAACAGTATAGTACTGTACATAGAATAATTACAGTTTATTAAACACTTTCTTAACACCTCTTTGTTGTAATGGAGGGAGCACCATGTCATTTGTTTTTTTACAGCACCAAAGGAATCCAAAGGGGGGTGTTCCTAAAGTGAGCCCTATGTTGTCTGTCTGTGCCACAGCATCTTTGCAAAATAAGTTTAAGTCATGTGATTCTGGCCCTACAAGGGCGACAATTACTTTCTAGATAAGACATATACACACAGCAAGACATATTTTCTATGCCATCCTTATTCAAAACTTGCATGTGGCATGAAGTGGGTTGGTAGCACCAAAGTGCAACATTTTTGTTGATCTGATTTTGTCTTAAGCTTAACCAAGGAAGCAGACAGGACCGACCTCAAATCCAAACTTCTGGTTCTGATCACCAAAGTCATTGATCATAACATCAACTATAGGCACTTGGTCTATTTTGGGTGTGTTGATTTCAATCACCGTCTTTGCATAGCCCTTTCTTGACTGTTAAAAAAGAAGGAAAAAAAAAAGCAAACATGGTTATATATCAGAGCAGTAAACGTATGCTGTAGATCTTCATAAGTTACCTCTGAAGTGTAGAATTTATAAACCATTGTCTGCTCATGCATCAGATATTACAAACTCTAAAGTTTATGTTTTCTTAGGATTTTATTTTAAAAATGTGACATAGAATGTTTTTTATTTTAGAAAGAGATTGGCCCATAACTTTTTACTACAGGCCTACTAAAATAGACCTCCAAATGAAAAATTACCTAAGACATTTAATGTTTTGTGGGGAATTCTGAGTTCACATCTATACTATAATATTATAATATAATATCATTTATATTAATAAATGATAACAATGTTCTCATAGCAGTATGCATGTCTTCCTTGTGAAAAAATCACCGATTAGTTCTGAAAGAAGAACCATTTCTAAGAAGAAAGACTGTAACTGTCTCACAAAATATTACAGCAGGTGTTTGGACATGAAAGAAGGTAGTAGTCTGACAGGACTGCCAACTGATGCACTTAGAAAGCAGGTTTGAAGACACACCCTTACTTCCTAACAAAGGCTTTCTAGCTCCTTTAAATATCATCCAGCCAAGTCATCATGTTAGTTATCAGGACTGCACTTCGTTCAGATGATCTCTTATATCTTGCTGAGACCCCTTTCAGCTATGCCAGAGTCTTGGAGTTTAGATGTGCATCCAAGTTGGTGGATCTGAGTGTTCTCAATTTAGTGAGATAGTTATACCTTAAATCACTTCCAGTTCTCTCTTGACCTCTACACTCACCCACTGTGGATAACGAAAGCAAAATACACAGGACATACAGAAAGGCTGACATGAAGCAGCTTTGTATTAGAATCTCATTACTGAGGGGAGGAGACTCTGCATCTAACTGAGCTGCATCTCTGTCTCAGAGTCAGGTATGTATCCTGGCACTTTCAGGTCTCTGGTTCTCGATCACTGACTTCTTAGGAGCTGCTGTCGAAATGCACCCGTACAAAAACCTGAAATAATTAATGAGGCTTCAACTGTCACTTGCTGCTTTGATGTCTTTGTTTCAGAGTGTTCAGTACAAACCATTCTGTTTCCAAAGAGAGGTAATCGTTGCTATGCCTACAAAGACCCTGCTGGAGCGGTGGTCAGAGAGCTGATGCATGTTTGCACAGCTCCAGGGATTTTAGCTGAGCTAAGAGAGGATTCTGAAAGGTACAATTGACAAACTTCACCTGTCTTTGACTACTAAAGAATGAGAACAGGAAATATAAAGTCACATATCAAACTATGCAATTAATTCACTATGTTTGGGTATATACCTATGGCTTAGTTCATACATGTCTTTTTACTGTATTCACTAACTATTCTGTCTGCATATGCCTTGATTTTGAGTATATTCTTCTGATGGGCTGCCTCACCTGATTATTCTTTTTTGCTCCTGTTCTCTTATACAGTGCTCATACTAGCAGATAGTCTAGTTTCAGCACATTGATGCTGACAGCCTGTATCCATGCCAGGTTTGTTCCATTTCTGTTGCTTGGCTTATGAGTTTTGGGGTTTTTTGGTACATATATGAAAATTAAATAAGGGACTAGTGTACTGTAGTTAAAAAATCTACTAAAAGGCAGTCCGTTAAAAATAAAGTGTTTAAAAAGCTTTTCTCAGAAGAAACCTGTGAAAAAATGAATTTGATTTCTACTTTAATTGGCAGGTTGGTTTTGTAAAGACTCTTCTGAACGTCTACTTACTGCACAGCCATCGTGAAGAGCTTTGATGTAAGGATTGTTGTCATAAGACATTTCTTCATCATTCGATCCTAAGAACCTTAGCGCTTTGTCATAGCTGTCAGATGATGCATCATGCCAAGCAACAGACTGATGACAGTTGTAAGTGAAATTTTGTCTGGCAGAGGCACTCAGTAGTTTAAGGAATGTCATTTGAACCATATTAATGGAATTGCCTTCAACATCCAAGTAGGAAAGCTGGAAAATACAAGAAGTTACATGAATAGTTATGTATTTCCTTTGTTAAAATGCAAAACAAAATTATTCTTGACAAAAGAACCACATAACTGTCCGTAATTAAAAAAAAAATCAACCAACATATAACATTTTATGGAGTTTTAAAGTTCAATAAAGCTATGACTCAGTAAATAGATTTTCATGTTGTAGCAATATATTTAGGATGAAGAACTACATATTTGAGCTTCATTTTGATGGGAAAGACGAAGAATTACTCCTACTATATAGTATAAACCAGCAGAATCTCTTTGGGAATCTGTTTTCAGTTAATTATAAAGTTATGTCAGCCTGCAGTCTCATCTTTGCATACTCAGTATATTTCCAGTTGCCTAGAATGGGGCAGGGGATCTGTGCTCCAGCTGCTTCACTAAGGTTCAGTGGTGATGTGTTATCTGCCAGCAGCCAGACCCTCACCATCAGCTGTGCAGGTGACCATTGGGATCACTGTGGGAGAGAGCAGGCTTCTGCTGTCCAGTGGTAAGAGGCCATATAGCTGCTCTAATATTTAGGGCAAAAAGGCTGGGGCTGAAAAGTCTTTTCATTATCTAAATATTCATAGAATTCCTTGGGATCTGTTGATCATTGATAACATGTACTTGATTTGTGAATGACTGTTATGTTGCAGTGACAACTTACAAGTTTGCCTCGTTTAAATTCACTAAACCAAGATCCTGGATTCTCTTTTGGCCATGATGAAATTCTAACCTGTGTGGTAAAACAGCAGAGAAAGAAGTATTTAAAACATATGTTAACAGATACACAGGTTTTATATTACCTGGGACAAATTTCACGTCAGATAGTAAAGAATGGTTCTTCTTTCTGAGATCTCAGCCTCTTTAAAGCTTTAAAAAAGGATGTCCTTCTTCTATAGAATGCCTTCAAAGTAGTGACTTTAAATGGAATCCAAGGTGATAGCTTATAAAGAGAGATAGTTCTATTTAAGGGAGACTGTGGTAATCTGTTAAGATTCAGGTGAACTGCTAGTATAAATTCTTCCTGTGAAGAGTGTCTAAATTTGAGTTTTCACTGCTGTTGATGCTGATAGATCTCTCTCTTTTAGACAAGCTTTTAGAAAGCTTTCCTCTACACCATATGCCCCATCAGAGGTAATTTATAACAATGAGTGAGGACACTGTTAATACATAGTGTTTCACATCTACTTTGCATAGGTATAAATGAATAGATATGAATGAACCCACAAAAGAAACAAGGTAAGAATTTAGCTTTTAGGTGTCAAGCGCTAGATTATGCACTTTGGCTGCACAGCTATGTTGCATTCTGAAATGCAGTGAAAGGTTAGCAAGCAGGTGCATAGATTCTCTATCTAAGCAAAAGAGTGAAAATGCTGTTTGTTAGCTCTATGTACCATTTTATCACTTCATTCAGATTTATGCAAATTTCAATGTAATCAGAAAGACAAATATATGAAAATGTGACAATGTAACTACCCTGTTTAGTTCAACATTGCAACAGCATAGTAGGATCTGTCAACTGCCAACTGAAAATGCAGACTGGTACTTACTCCTTCAGATTTCTTATCTGGGTAGATGCAAGTTTCCCCACCTGCTGTGAAATTGCAGTATACTTTGAAGGAGTCTCCAGAACAGCCCTGGTTAGGGTCAATCCAATATTCCCCTAAAACAAATGAGAAAATATTTGCCTTATATAGTGGGAATGGTATTTGGAAGATCCAGGTTTTACTGCTACCTAATGGTCCTCCAAAGTTTGTAGCAAAGTTATTTTATCTGAACGATGAGAAAGCAACCCTTTCTTTTCTGCCTTGTGATTTGTTGCTGTTGTTATTGTTTTTGAAAGATAACACCAGGATCAAAGTCTATTTTTACCTGCAACCTTTTGTTTTTGTCTAATTTTACTTCAAACTATGACTCTGTTGCAAGACTGCTGAAATTTTGGAGGAACTGCGGAGCCCTCAGTCTAAAGGAGGAAGGACATCATGTGTGAAACATACATTGCAGGTCTCAACAACTTGGCCATTTCAGTATTTCAGCTAGAATTATCCTTGTACCTGTGATGATAGCACTCTCAAAAATAGAGTAGAGGCAGCCTTAGGCAGAAATAAACTATGGCTTAGGTCAGAGAGCAAAATCTGGGGTCATTGCGTACCTATCTACATAAAAATGTGGCTGCACAGGGTTTGGTGAGGTTGTAGCTGGCACAAGTACCTAAAGCTTCCATTGAGAGAGATATACCTCAAGCAAAGGTATTTTTTACTACTGGGTTATGAAGCTGCAACACTAGTGAAACTTCAGGCTGCTTTAGTTGATAAAAACACATTAACTAAAGCTTGGTTAGGTGACATGGTGAGAAAGACAGTTAAAACTTGCATAGTTTCAGCAGTCCTACAGTGCTAGGCTGAACGAAGGTTGGACGTGAAAGAGAGCCACAGTCAATCCAAGGTCCATTAAAAATCAGCACTTTATAAAATCTACCATTCTAATTATAACGATGATTTCTGTGATGTGGGTCCTTATCTCCAGCTAGTTTCACAGCAGGATGGCAAATGATTTTCTGACACTGCTGTTCTAATGCAGTTTCAAGCAAATAGTGAAGGTTTCAGAGAGGAATGAAAAATCCTTTCACCAGTTCTGTCTTCTGAATACAGGGCATAGACAAAGCATTTATGGTATTTTAAAATTCTATTGATTCAGGCTGTATTTATTGAAAACAGTCTTTACGACCTGTAAGTCTTGTCCCTGAAGGATTTTGTATTTTAATGAATGTGTTCACTTTTATTTTAACCAAAATAAAATTACTTTTCTATGAAGAAAGCTCCAAATAATAAGCAAATACTAGTAAATGAAGAAGGTGAATGTGTTCTATAAAAAACATTCATTATTATGGAGGGTACTGAATTATAAAATATGTACTTTTTATACAGCACATACACTGCTTAACCACTCCTCAAGGCAACTGTCTGTTTTTATCTATCTAGAGTGAAAGCAATAAAATATTATTAAACTGTCAAAATCTTTTTTTCCTCCTATTTAAAAACAGAAAAATATTGCTTTGAACTGGGAAAAATATCAATTCCAATAAAAAAAAAAAGTATGAAAATTCTGTGAAGGTTGGCTTTCATTTAAACCTTTCCAGAGGGGTAAACTCAATTAGAAAAAAAGAAGAAACAACAAAGAATAATTAAATCAAGATAGTTCTTCAGAACACAGTATCTTGTTCATACTACTCTGCATTTTATTAAACTAGTACTTAGTAGCATTAAACAGTATCAGAGAAACTTGCATGTCTATTTGCTGAATGATATAGAACAAACAGTGGTCATGCAGTAGAACAAATTATTGTTTCTAAGGGTAAAAGAATAGTAAATTCTTTAAGAGTCAGAATAATAAATCTCATATAATACCAATGCTATTTTATATTATTATGCTAAGCTAAAGTATACAGCTACTAAAATAAATCTCATTTCTTTTAAAAGAAGCTATTAGCTATTCCAGCATGCTGACATTTGTGATTTTACTTTCCATTCATCTAAATAGCATCAATCTTTCATCCCTCTCCTGTTTGGATAGTTCTGGAAATGCAAGGCCCACTTTTCAAAACAATAACTGTTTTTTATTTAGCACTTTAAAAAGTTTTAAATTGAAAACCAGAACAGGTTATGTATTTAAAGAATTTCAGCTTTCACCAAAAGAACATCTCTTACATACATTTCATAAACTTTTATACCTGTAAAATGGATTTAATGAGATTGTATTTATTGAGCAACTATCTTAACCATCTACCAATGATTAATTATTCTGCCAAAGTATCTTAGCAGACCATAACTTCAGCCTTGTTTGCCTTTGTCATGCAATATTAACATACCATCTGGGAAGTCTGGGTGGCAGAGTTGCAAGTCTTTGCAAGTTCGGGCTGGGTTATTCTGAGTGCCCATTGGATACTTCATATGCTCAATGTCTTGCTTAAGTGAATTCAATGAACCAAATATCTCTTCCATGCCATCGGAATAATCCAGAATATTATCACCAGCATCAGATAACATGTAATCAGGAGATCTTCTTGTCTTTTTGGGTGACTGAATCGGCAGTGGCTGGATTACTTCACCTGGAGGTCCCTGAGTGGAAAACACCATGTCTGGTTACCTTTTCTGTTTGTTTTTCAGCTGAATAAATATACAGAGGAAGACCACAGAATGTGGCTTGGAGATGCTGTGAACAGGCTTTCTTGAAATTCTTTATTTCTTTATTTCACTTATTTCCTTCAGATTTATGCCTACGTGCTTTGATTTACTTGCAGAAAAAGATGATTGTAGAAGACCAAACCATTGTTGTGCTCTAAACTCTTCTCACTACATTGCTGTTTGGGGAAGAGTGCTGTCCTTACATAAGTTAAGTGTGCAGAACTGACTTGCAATTGGCTCTTTATCCCTGGCAATTCCCTCAAGCACAGGCGTAGCCTATGACAAATAAAGACTGTGGATGTTTCCTATGATAAAACTTTAAAATTCCACTTGGGGTCTATAAAACAATATTTTATTTCAAGAAATTGAAACACTTCATTCAGATTTGGACTGTTTTTATTTTATATTGTTATGATATGAAAAAGAAATAGTAGAAACAGGAGAGTATCAATAGGGGGAAACCAATATAATTCTATTTTCTGTGCTTCAATATAACACATTAAGTAACTATTGTGGGAGAGGAGGGTTGGTTGTTTGTGGCGGGGTTTCTATTGTGTTTTTTTTAAAGTTTCTAATGGCTTTTTCAGTGCAAACAATGTATTTCTGTGTCTGGTGGATCTGTGTTTCCTGAGAAATGAATTTTCAAACAATCATTAATATTTTCCTTATCTGCAAGTTCACAAATGCAGTTTTCTACCCTTGTCAAAACCGGGTCATCATGTCAGTGTAATGTGCATGCATGTCAGAAAAGAGTCCTTACTTACTGGAGGACCAGGTGGACCAGGTAACCCACTGTCACCCTTTTGACCAGCCGGACCCTACAAAGCAATTAAAGAAATGCAGTGTTGACCATACTACACAATGTTAAAAAATAACACACAGAAAAGTTAAGTAAAAGAGCAAAAAATACAGAGGAGAATTACTCACGCTGGACCCTTTGGAACCTTTTGGACCTTGGGGACCCTACAAGCAAGAACATGTAACTATAGTTGGAGTGTATTCCACACAACACAGGAGTGTTGTAAACAGGAGGACTGGGTGAAATTACTTACAGGTAAACCAGGAGGACCAGGGGGTCCAAGCGGACCAGCAGGACCGGAAATTCCCTAAGAAAGAAGAGAGTAAGTACAGAACTAAAGTATTCGACATACTGGACTGGATTAAAAAAATGCATATCTATGAAAAAGGTAGTCCTACTAAGTGTCCAGCCCTGGCAAATTTTGATTTAGGCCATTTGCTAGTGTCCAAAATAGTTTGTAAATTTAAAATATTATCTAACAGTTTGAGTTGCTTGTAGTTGTTCTTACACTGCACTACTTACAGTTACAACTCTGTTCCCCTTCAGACTGGCTTGGAAACCTCACTTTTCACATAATGCCTTAAAACATGGCTTAATAACTAGGAGAAAGGAAGCTACTTTGGGTAGTGCAGTTAATAAACATGATGAGATTGGTGCTGCTAGTTTTATCTTGTCTCTAGTTTAGGTGTATCCGTTTCCTTCATCTTCTGAAACACTATGATCTCGTTTCAAGCTGTTCACTGTGCATGCCTAGGAAAGTTTTAACCTCCAGCAGGAGGCTTTGAGTGTTAAATGTTTATAGCAACTTTATGTCTCTCTCAAAAAAAAGACTAGAATATGTACTCTTTGCTTGCACAGAACTTGAATGAAAACACAAGTATTCTTTACTCACTGCATCACCCTTGGCTCCAGGAGATCCCTGTGGGCCAGGAAGACCCCTATCACCTTTTTCACCCTGTTCTCCTGGAGGTCCAATCAGACCAATCAAACCAGGATGTCCCTAAACAAGATAGAAGAAAATATAGTTAAAACTCAATATATATAAAGTAAATGTGTTTTGCAAACACACAAATTAGAGCTTTCAATTGTCATCACTGTCGCTAGTCAACAATTAACCTGAAAACAAATTATTCTGAAAGCATATTCACTGTTGTTACTGAAGCTGATACAGAAATAACAATACGTGTGGGTACAAATTTCATACCAACTTTCACATTTAGATGCTATAAGCATATTATAGAGTTGCACATTTGTTTCCACATGTAATATAGCTGTGTAAACAGCTGATCCAAGTACATAAACAAAAACTGAAATTCACAAGATATATTCATATCCTTTTCTCTATACACTTTTTCTCTGATACACAAGCAATCAATAAATTGCTGGGACTCCATTAGAAAATGCTACCCCAGATGTCTCAATCCATTATTTCAAAAGAAATATTATAGCTGTTACATATTTACATTTTGTTGTTTTAAAATAAAAATCTCAAATACTTTTGATTTCTACTTACTTTGTTTTTGTAAATCCAACAGTTCTTTTTACATCAATATCTTTGGGATTTTCATTACAAGGAAGAATCACTTGGTCAACAGATTACCACACAGGCAGTAATTTTTTTTCTTTCTCTATATCTCCAGGGTATCAGATGTGGCTTAAAACTTCACAATTACTATTAAGGCTATGGGAAGCTGATTGATAGACACGGTAAGTTGTCTTGCTTTCTATTACAAAACCCCTAGTGTTTCTTTCCGCTAATTTTATAGAGACTGTTAGACTAGGTCAAAATTACAAAGGCACAACAATGAATAAAGTATACCTTCTCTCCTTTGGAACCTGGATCTCCTTTCAGGCCAGGCAAGCCAGGTGGACCCTAAATAAATCAAAGGAAGTAATGTTAAAATAAGTTCTAACATGCTACACACTTTCTTGAAATATTAAAGGCAGTGTTAAGTCAAAGTACAGATTTAGTCAGTGGTTGATGGTTGTGATTGATGGCATGTGATTTAGGGCCCAAGATAAAGCTGAAATGTATGTTTAAAAAGGCATAACGATGCTACTGTAGCATTTAAATTACTTTATAATTAGAAATCTATAGAGAGTTGTATGATTACAAATCTATGAAGCAGTGCATCAGCTAAATTCTTAAAGAGCACTGAAAGCATCCAGTGAAGCAAGTGGTATTAAAAAAAAAAATTCAAATAATTTTTTGTTGATTAGCCTAATTTTGCTTGTGGTTACATTACATGCTTTCAATTATTACTTCCACCTTAATTGCTGTACCTTATTTTAGTTGCTTATTTTAGCCCTTTCTTTCATAAAAGAGTGGAAGGTATCATCTTAATTGGTTTTCTCCCAGTTTACTACAGATCAGTAAGATTTTTGCAGAATATAAATCAGGTTGCATATAATAACTGCTTTTCAATGTTACTTTGTTGGAGAACTACCTCATATTTTCTTTCAGCATTTGGGGCGTTGTCTTGGGATTATAGTTTCCTTGACTTGCCACCTGAAATTCCTGTGTGACTATGAATAATGCATTTAAGTCTATATTTTCTAAATATTCAAGTATTTTCTACTCAACATTGCAAGCTTACTGAATGTGATCGAGGTGTGCTAGCTCCCCTGACACGTACAAGCTTATGGCCCTTTGTCACTTCTGTAAATGTGAGTAGTTACACAAATTCCTTAGGTTTTGCAATACTAGTCTGGGCAATCCTAAATGCTTTTAGGGACTGCCTTAATCTGTTTGGGCCTCCACTCCTCTTTTGTTGGACAGGGTTAATACCCTTACCTTACAGAAGTGTTAAACCAATACCTTTTTAGGTACTTAGATAGTTCACAGCATATGAGCAGCTTACAATTTTTAATTTGTCTTTACGAGCCATCCTTCCTGCAGCACAGTAAAGACTTATGTCACTTTATGAAACTGCATGAGAAATACTCTTTATTGTAAGTTTTAGTTACAGTTGTCCCTAAACATTACTCTATGCAGCTGGATTTCTGTAAACAGAAATATGCTGGGGCAGAATACAGAGCTGTGAACAACCAACACAGGGTCAACAGAACCATCCTACAAGCCCTTCCATATTTCTGGGGTGGGTGCGGGGAGAGGACAACCCAAAACCCTCATGTTTTTTCAGGTGGTTCCAATGTAAGCTGATGCTTAGGGTATCTGTTGGAAAACTCCATTCTAATCTTGCTACCTGGGAAACCACTGCGAAGGATAAACACATTCACATGGATAGGTCTTACTTTCTGCACATCCCTTGCAAAAAACACTGGATTATCTTGTTTACATAACTTGACACAAGCTTCTTTTCCCTGACAGTGCTTTTCAAACTCTTTACTGGGGTCATAAGAGCAATCCATTGAAGATTCTTTTTACCAATAGTCAAAAATATAGCTGGATGGATGTCACAGAAAAAGATTATATATGAAGCTTGTTAAAATCTCCTTGGTTTGCTTTTTTTCCCCAGTTTTTCTTTACAATTATTTTAATCCTTATTTATAATTTTAGAAGAATTTTGAGGAATTTGAGGAATATTCTGAGGTTTGTAAGAATGGCAGTGTTGGTTTTGTGTAATTTGTACAGAATGAGGTGAAAAAGTCAGGCCATGCAGTGCATATGCAAGCACAGAAAAGGCAGTCATTTCTCAGAGGCTATTAATCTCACACTGAACATGTATGCATTAGGCACAGAGCTGCTAGACTAAGTCAGTATCTCATCATTACTAGTCTCCTGCTGGCAGTGGACATCTGTGAAGTTATGATATGGATAGCAGTAATAAGTGACCTTTCAACCTGGCACAGATTCAAGAGTGCCATAACGCTTCATGTACAAAATATTATTCAGTGCGTATCCTTTCCATCTCTACTGCAGGATATCATTAGATGCAAAAGCCTAGGCAAATACATAATTCATGAATGAAAAGTGAAATCTTTAAGCTTTTGGCATACAGAATCAGACATTTTCACCTGCAGTGTGTTGTGCTCTACTGCAAATCTGCTTTCGTATTCTTCTCCTGATAGCAATCTACTGTGGAGGGAGGGAGGGGAAGGAGGGAAAGCTAACCTCAGAAACTTTTACATATAAACTTTACTTTCTTAAAATCCAAAATAAAGTTTTAAGTTGCAGCAATGCATCTAAAAAAAGTTCTTGTTGAGCTGACAGGAAGCCTGCGTGTTTGGGAGTATATAGTTCACTCATACACTCAGCTTCAGATTTGAATTGAATATTTAAGCTCTCAAATATTGGAAGGCACATCTTTTGATGATGTATTATTTGGAGGCTTCTGGTGACTGTCATGTGGGAAAGAGATGCTTATTATTGCTTAATAATTGTTCATTGACTTTTAGATTTCAGCACAGAATTGTAACTGAGGAGATAAGTTTTCAGTTCCCTGATTTGTCCCCCATGAATTTTATTTATAAATTGGGCACATCATTTAAAAACTATGGTGGTGGTCCCATCATAAACTCTTTGGAGAGAAGACTTTTTTTTAAATGGGCTTAGCACAGGGGAATCCTTTTCCTTGCAGTGTCTCATTCATTGTTCCCAACCTCTGACTTAGAAGCAATATGTTATCCATGAGACTTTGGACAAAATTAGAATGTTAAATTGAAGAGCAATGCAGAGCTATAGTGTAAGGTTTCCTCAGTACATTATTTGCTCATTATTGTTTTCTAAGGGACAAAGAAAAATAAAATTATATGTTGGTGCCATTGTAATACCATCTATAATTATATACACAGAAGTGATCAATAGATACTCCTATGTACCAGATCACTGTTCATTGGGAAAAAAAATAAAAATCTTTCTAGTATGTGGGGCATAAAAATATATTTTCTGAAACTTTTTGCTTATAGGTTAAGAAGTTGCATGTTGGGAACATTTTTGGAAATGTAAATAGTTACTGAAGTACTCTCACCCATGAAAGTGTTTCAGTCAATGAAAGAAAAGGCAATTGCTGATGTTGACATATGCACATGAAAGTGAAAGAGTGGTTTAGGGTAAAACTCTTGATTTATGCAGCATTTCAGTTTAAATTCCCCATTTTTTCCACTTTCATTTTTATATACTGGAAAAGTCTGATATGAAAATTTTATAGCTGATATTCAGATCCAGACTTCTCACTGTAGGGGCAGGGATGCTCTTGGAAAGATTTTGAGTTCAGGTATATATAGCTTAACCGCAAAAACTTTCAGTATTAAGGCCCGGTATCCTTTGTATCCTCTAAGTCCATACAGGAAAAGGAACAGAGGATTTCCTTCACACTTCCTACTCACAGCCTTCCTTTTCCCCTTTAAGGGCCACATAATTTCTGAAGTAGAGGATATCCCCTTATTGCCCTGTTCTCCTAAAGTAATCTGATTGTATGTTCTGGCCAAAATAACAGAGTGGATTTTACTTAGTATGTGATAACACTGCTTGCAAACTGTAAAATGCCTTGAGTGTGTAACACTTGTTTATTTCTTTTCTGCTCAAACTGTAACAGACCATATTTCTTTCATTTTGAAGCTTTTTATTCCCAATGTGTCACTCAACTGTGATAATAGAGGTGAACTCCAGTGAGTTTGAGGAGCAAGGGATATGAGATCTTTCCACTAAATTGGATCACCTTTACTTAATGTGTGAAGAATTAGCCTGCTGGCCATATAGCTTAGATTTGAATTTCTGCACATAATGCTGAATAAGAACACCAATATTGTGCAATTTGTGCTCAGTGTTGTTTTTTCAGCTTGTTAGAAAAAAATGCACTAAAATAGCAAGTGTAAATAGAAGCAATAATATAATTTCATATTATGTCATCTATAAGCTTCCCTTGCTTTAATCATATTATTAACACATAGCAGAACTGTGGTATGCCATGGATGCCCTAGAAACTGGGAGGCTGGTTCATTCAGACCCTTTTAAACACTTTAGTCATGCATTATATTTCCTGGGACTGCCACGAGTGAACAATAAGCATGATGCTGCTGTTTATTTTTACAAAACTAGCATGTTTTCTTCCTTTGTAGAAGTCCCGTTTTGGCCCTACTTCTGATTTAATTTTTTCTTTCTGTAAGGAACAGATATGATCTAAACTTTTACGCTATGAATAATGATTCCCTAAACTAGTAGTCACTAAAATCAATGGATGTCCAAAATTTGCCACTGTTAAGGAAACAAAATTATTTAAGATATTAAGCTTTGCTGATGTGAGGACAGAAGTAGATTTTTTGATTGTAAACTTTAAAAATAAAAATAAAATTAATAATTTTATTCAGAGGATTTCAAGAATTTGATTTTACACTGCCTTATTCCACATTTTACCTAGTGTAACTCAGCAGCGTTCAGCACAGCTGCCTACTATAGTACAGCAGTAAAATAAGAAGGCAGTTGTGTATCAGATTTTACCAGCACAAAAGAACAGTGACTTTGTGCTAAGAACCAACTTGTACATTCATTTTTCTGTAAATGCACAGACACGTTTTAAAGGGTCCTTTTCCTGTTTTGGCACTGAAAGGAAGGGTACTCACCAGAGGTCCAGGAGGGCCATCCTGACCTGGCGCTCCAGGTAGACCTTGTTCTCCCTAGAAAAAAACATAGTTTGCTTTACCAGAGGATATAGAAGAAATGCAACATTAAAAATATTATTATATGCTTCTCATAGTTACCACAGGCCAAGGAATGCCCCGGAGACCCTCTGGGCCAGGTTTTCCTGCAGGTCCCTGTGGACCAACTGGACCTGTTTTTCCAGGAGCCCCTTCTGCACCAGGTTCACCCTAGAAAGAACATAAGCAACAGGTCAGAGAGGAAGAGCTGACTAAGCTTGGCACTGTAGGGATATACAAGCTGCAAAGTGAGAGCAAAGATTTCTCACTCCAGTTTTAAAAGCTAAAACAGTGTTCTGTACAGGATGGTTTTCTGAACAAAATTTTGATCACTTCATATAAAGATGTTGTGCCCGCAAAGCATGCTCATCTTGATTTTCTGCAGGGGTGAGCTAAATTGGGCCTGCACTGGTGAGAGTCCACCATGTACTCCATTATTCTGGGTCTTCATTTGGTTTTTACAGTTTACCTATTATTACTTTGACAAGTTTCACACTCCGTGCATGATAAGCAATTTACTTTTTATTTATACAGAGTTCAGATTTCTGCACTCCTAAAAAAAAATCTTGAGTGTATTACCTTTGCACCTTTTTCACCTTGTCTGCCTTCAGCACCAGTTGCTCCAGGAGGTCCCTGTAAAACATCAAGGCTGAGCTCATAATCTCAGTTTTCTAAAATATTACCAGTGAAAAATATTCTGAAAGTGCCATTTCCACTGTATTAATAAATAGTAATGCTAACAAAAGAACATTAAATTTCTTTCTTGACATTTTATTCACAGAATAAAGATCCCAATATGTTCAGATCAGCTCTTTTTCCCTTTATAAAATTTTCTGGGTTTTTAGAATACCTAAAAGAATATACACCACCTAACACCCCTGATATGATAAGGTTAAAAACAAAGAAATAGCTTCAAAAGAAAATCAAAACAGGATATAAAAGTAAAAGGAAAAGAACAATACTAATTTACATATACAATAACAGTTTTAAACTTGCTTTGCATTGGTGTCTATCTACTCACTGTAGTTTATCCACTTATTCCAAAAGGGCCTGTCACTTTACAGTGCACAGAATGGCATATACTTCTTTATTCTCAAGTCAGGGATGGACTCAGTAAGCCTTTTAATTCCATTTGGAGAGCCAAAAATTGATACATGCCTTAATATTATCCAGTAAATATGAAAGAGGGAGAAAAACAAATATAAAAAAATCACATGACTAGAGATTGTAAGGAATGAAATAAAGACACTGACTACAAATAGCTCTTGGTATCAGGTTTGCTTCTATTTCTCTGCAAAAGCTCTGTTTGACTAAGAAGATAGAACTTGGTACTGCAAGAGGATGTAGAGATGGGATAAGGCAAAACAGGAGTTGCAGTCGTCTGGCAGCACTGTGACTACCTATTGCTGATGTCACCCCTCTTGAATTTTTTAAGGTTTTAGTGAGAAATAATAAGATATTTTTCTCCTCCCAAACATCAAGGGCTGATTTTCAGGTCAGGGAATTAATATTTATAGCTTCAGTTATGAACTGAAACAGTATCTAGAATCTAATGTACTCTTCCGAAAATGGTTCTCTTGTATATACTTAGTTTAGAAAAGATGCACTCAAGATAATGGACCAACTGTTTTCCTACAAGGTTAATTTTTAGCTTGGGAGATGTCCTTAATACAAATAGCTATTTCTTGCCAACCAATGAGCAGCTTAAAGCAAAAGGAAAGAAGAGTGACCACGATCAAATACAAGGTGATTTTCTGAATCTCTAAAATTTATTTCCCAAGACTCATCTGTTCGTTAATGCAAGAAACAGTTTGTTATGTAGAAAGTAAAAAAAAATAAAAATATCTTCTAAGGACCAGCAACAAGAAAATGTCAATTACTTCCATTTATTTACTACTTTCTACTTCATAACAACGGACAAAAAAAATGCAGGCCCCTAAAAGTAAAGCAGTAAAAGACATTCTTAATTTTACAGTTAAGAACTGTTCTTCCAGTCAGGCATCTACCTGTATGCTTTCTGAGCTCAGGGCTTTAGACCAGTCTTTGACCTAATAGCTTTTTTTTTTCATACTAGAGCTGAATTTAGCCCAGGCTTTTTATAGCCTGTTATATTTCACCATCCACTACTATTAGCACATAGCTTGAGCAACTCCACCAGTTTTAATTTAATTCCTAGAAATGTACATTCATTTTATAACTATTTACATAGAAGTATATTAAGATCCTTCATTTGCTTCTGAAATTAAGCTTTCTCCAGGGTGGAATTGAACATCTGCAGCACTGTATGAACCTTTTGGCCAACAGAGATAGTTCAGGCTTTCCATCAAAGTTAATGCAAAATGAATTGAATTACCCACAGTGGACTTTAGACATTTGTTGTGGGTGTCAACAGGTTGTTCTCTTTGGTATTTTTAAGAGCTGTAAGTGGTAAAGGACTTAGTTTTACCTCTTCAAAATACAGAGAAGCTAAAAAGCCCTGGGCAGTGGGGCCCAATTGCAGACTCTTTAAAACAGGAAGAATAATTTCAATCACTACTGTTCCAGTAATAATCTCTAATGCATATACCCCTTTGTGTAGGTTGTAATCGGTTGGGTGGATCACAGTTTGCAGCGATAACAAGAAAAATGATTAGCAGGTATATAAATAAACTCAGAATCATTTTAGAAACAGGACTTTTTTTTCCTTACATGAAATAATTTACATGCCCATTGTCTTTACTGCTTGAAAATTCCTTGCACTCAAGTTCCCATATGGATTATAATCTACCCCACCTAAGAAACTGAAAAGGGTTGAGTGTGGTAGTTTGTATTTCAGAAATATGGTCTCTGCATAATCTAGAAATGCAGGTGCAACATGAATTAGCAGGGGTAAAAACCACTGTGATCGCTAAATTACAAATACAGTGAATCATGATTACTAAACAAAGGGGGTGCATTCATTATCAAACAGTGCCTATGCTGCACCAGCACAAAGCAGCTAAATGAACTGCTCTTTCTAACAGGCTGTGATTGCTGGCATGGCACAGATGGTTCTTCTACAGAGAAAGACCGCAAATTATTATTTATCTTACCTTCCTACACTTGAGTTTTTGGAGTGTCTGGTAAATTTTAACTGACAGAAAAGAACTCGAATAACAGTAATTTTAAATTAATGCATGGCTCCTCACCCTCACCACCCCAGCTACCATGGTGATATTTATGATCGTTACACTTTAAGTTTGGACATATTGCCTGATACACTTTATGCAGAACTGAGAAGACAAAAGAACTCATACAGAAACAAACTTGCCCTCAACTTTTGTTACATGAAACTATTGGACATTTCTGTCTGCTCTTCCATATTTCATAATTTGATTAAAAAAGTTTAAACTGTTGTTTGTAGCTGTCTGTCGTCTGACTAAAAGCATGATTTCCAACACAGAAAACCATTACTTCATTTCATCAGCCTGTTAAGATAGGAACCTGGCATATTGTTAGGTGTTCTGTGCATTTGCAATCAAGAGAGAAAATCAGCTTAATTTTTAAGTGGTGTGTGCACCCTGCTGAGGCAGCATGATGCTGTAGCCAAAATGGAAGAAAATCTCCTTCATAAAAACACTTCCTTCTTTTCTGTTATTCAACATTGTATATAAAGGCAACTAACCAAATAAACTATTGCTTCTCAAAATTTAGAGACGAGCTTTGCTGCAGTATTGACATATCTTCTTTCACTGGAAGCAAGCAGTATGCCTTCCAGTTGAGAACAAAAGTGTATCTTAGTCTTGGACTTTAAATTCTAACATTTTAGGTTGATATATGGAGCCTTATGTGTATGTGATCTAGACTTCTAATTGACTCTAATAAAACAGCTAAAAAGCAGAAAACACAGCTGAGGGGCCTAGCACACTGAAAGGCTGAAAAGAATATAAGCAGGAGATACTATCTGTGTTGATTTTTATTGATTGTATGTTATTTGTTTTAAGAATGAATGTTGTTTGATGGTGTCTGTTCCTCATGCTATTTCTAACATTTGTCAGCTAGAAATCAATGAATTCAAACTAGAGATGTCACTCATGGCAAAACAAAAAGTGCTCTATGACAAAACAAAAAAAAAAGTCCCCAAAGTACATGCAAAGAATTAATTTTCATAAAATAATAGTAGTAACATAACTGTAGAGTGGTTCAGTCTTTGTATCTACTTTTCTAGATAAGCAGGCTTTGGATCAGGAGGCCTTTTGAGATTATCCATTTCTCATTGATCACCACTCACTATCTCCTTACATTGGAATGAGAGACTGAAAAACGTTACATGTCTTCAGAAACACAGTCTTCACACAGTATGCTGTTGGTCAATGCTGATGCTATTATGAGCAACAGGAAAGCTGTACAGCTGAGAACTCTCACTGACAAGCCCATAGCAATTTATGAAATTCTTGGTTGTCTTAGATTGCTCCAACAATGAAGTTAACTTTATAATGCAGTTTTTGTCTTCAGAACATTTAAGAACACTTCAGAAGCCACATCCTTCTGTGAGGCCAGCAAATTTCATTCTTTTTTTTTGCAGATAGAGAAATTTAGATGGCAATATTATAAATGTTTAACATGCATATAATGGGAAAATTATTAGAAAAGGGGTTCCTAGTCCCAAAGCTGTACTAGACTATTTGTCTGTTCAGCTTGGAATGTAATATACATACATGTAATGCCTCAAGTTTTCTACAGAATCTGGGCTGATTTTCATCAGTGGAGAACTTGTCAAGGGATTTGATGACGGAAAGCCCACAGTGAGAGGAAGATGTGCTGATGAAGAGCAGCCATTCTCAAATCAGACAGAACTGGTAAGGCTAGAGTTGGGTCCTGGATAGCTGAGGAGTCAAATCAGTGATGTGCTGTGGACTACCTCTACCAAAAAGCCTATTGTGCTGGATATTCTTAAAAATGTAAAGTAAATATAGCAGCTGATGAAGTGGTAGCCATTTTGACTAGCCTCTGAGGTCTTGATCTGGCCAGATGCTTAAACTGGCACTGAAATCTGCAAACTGAAACAAATGCATGTTTCCTACCAAACTTGCATGTATGTTGAATCAGGAATGCTAGGAAAGTTGATCAATTTTTCAAGCAGCTATAACAGATTTCTTTCAATAATATAAGTTTACTTTAAAAGTTCTTTCATTTGCATCATAAGAATTTGATGACTTAACATAAAAATACAGTTTTTTGGAAACTGTATTTAACTGCTGCTGAGCATTCTTCAGGAAGATGATACAAAACTGTTAGCATTGGCCAGCTAGAATGTTAACTTTAGCACTAAAATGTTGTAGTTTAATTGCTCAAGATTTCCGATCTATAGTTATGAAAGAACATACGTGTGCATATATATAAAAATGTATATTACACAATTGATTACTTCATTTTCTGTTTGACTTCAATAGGAATTATGACATGCTTTTATTTCTACACTGCTCTCATTCACATTCTGCTGTAGTATTCCATTAGCTGACTATTTCTGCCGAAGCAAGAGTAGCAAATGCTTCTGAAGACATTCCTTTTATTTTAAAACTATATCCTTTTTGGGTATTATCGAATATATCACAACTTTTTTAAACGAAGGGAAATATGTTTTCCCAAAATACTTCCAACATTTACTCCTATATTTTTATTGTTAATATAATCTCTTATTAAAAGTTGTGAGCCAAGATAGAGTTTACACAGAATAAAAACCTGTCTTGACTATCCAACTAAAGCAAGGTATATATAGGAAATATTGAGCATAGTCTTTTACTTCATTGACAAGATACTCTTTAAAAGAATTACTATTTTATTAATTCATTACAGGACATTTTATCATTTAATTAAAAAGTAGAGTTTAGTCAATACTAAACTAGTCCCTCAAAGTCTGATGCAATGAATATATATTTTTAAATTAGTTGTTGTTCTGGGTGTTGATCCTCTCTTGTATTGAACTAGAGAATCTGGCCTTCCATTTGTTAATGATAAAATCTCTTCAGCTATATGTTTCCCTTGATAGATTTCATAGCTCTAATTTTCTAAACAGTATGTGCACAAACCCACCCTAGATTGGCACACACAATTACTATGATTACTTGCACCATAACTACATAGATGTATAAAGCCTCCTGAGCATGCATTATAAAACTTCTAAAACTGAAAGTATCTATGGTATGAGGACTTTCAGAAAAAGGCAGTGGTGGAAATAATTTTTGGAAGACTAATTGTTAGGTCTGCAAACTAATATATTAATTAGGGTACATTTTTTGTGGATGCTCTAATGATCCATTTTTGTTTCATCCATAGATTTAACCTTTTATTTTGATTTAGACTTGAGCTAAGCAGTCATGAGCATGCTAGTCAATTTTACCTCTTCAGAGTAGGAATCTGGAACAGGCTTATTGTTCTGACATATACTTCCTAAGTAGTATTTCTTAAAAGAAATTCACCATACTGCTTGTCCATGAGACTCTTGCTCAGTCTGCAAGGCTCTGGTATTTATTGCCAAAGCCTTTAGAGCACCACAGTAAAACAGTTTTGGTACTTGCTTATCTCACCAACTAACAGTAATCCTATTACTGTTATCCATCAATAACTATGAAAAATAGTTTATCCTTGGCCTTCACTTGATAGTTGAATGTCAGTGTAAGTATGTATCTGTCACTGAAGTCTGTTAGATGCAATGGGAAAACTGTATTTATGTCCATGTCTTTCACTAGAATTTGCTTCCCAGGGAAAGCTGGGGAAACCTCTTTGTAACTGGCAATACTAAACACAGATTGCTCAGAACTCTGAAACCTGGTAATAAACATAATTTCAGAAGACCAGGCAGTGAAACTGAGTTCAGGTCAGTTCCAAAATAGAGGAGAAGAGGGGAATGAAAATTAGTAACAGAATACATAAGGAGACTGTACAGTTTGGGAGTTCAAGGGACTAGATTTAAAGTATGAATCCTGAGCTCTGCCAGCTTATTGTTTCAGAGACAGAAAAACAAAAAGTTGGGTAGAATGTTGCTTTCTGGTAGTATAGCCAGAGCTGCACCTCCATACATGGCGGTATTACTACTGAAATGGTATGTTCTTCTTAATGCGGATGAAAGGACACTTGTTAGGGCTTTTTGTTGAAATTATTTCTATCATACAACTGATGAAAACTAATGAAGAACATTTTTTGTGTTCATTCTGCCAGCAAAACATGAAGCTTTCAATCCTTCACTTCAATACAATACAGACTCTCTACAAGCTTGAACCATTCAGGTACTCAAGTAATGTAGAATCTGATTCTACAAACTGTTTTCTTCAGAATTCAGGAATGGGATTACTTGGCAATATTTAGCCATACATTTTCCCTAAATTGGAAATGTGTCAAACCACAAGTGACATGATATTTGTGTTTCTAAAGTGGTTTTTGTCTAGGTACAATCAGGTGCAACATATCCCATCTGTTAGGAACGAGCTACTGCCTTTCTGTATAATAAAGCAGGAAGTTCTAATCTGATGTCAAACAAACACACTAATTGCTAATATTCAATTGAGCCATATTTCTGTTCTAGTGATAAGGTTGCTAATGCTACCATAATCATTTACAGTATTATAAATGTTTTGCAAGTTGGTGGAGCAAACAGATTATTGTGTAAAAGAGATAAAACTAATTAGGCATGTTAGTTCATTCAAGCCTATTAAATAGGGCAATTTAACACATTTTCTTAAACAGCGCTCCGTTTATATTTAATGATGCCTCCTCTCTTGTTTTTTAAAGTGTAAATACTGCATCTAATTGCTCTCTGAAGCAGACCTAAAGGTTGATGCATCTACTACTGTTCTGTAAGTGTAACGTTATTTACTGGGTTTCATTAGCTATATTTGTAAAGCTTGTGAAGCTTCAAAGACTTTAGAAATAATCGAATGGCTTCATAAATTACAGAAATGTCTGCTTGTTAATTTTATATGCAGAGGGGATGACATAGATTTGCACAAAAGCTGCACTGAAATTATTTTATTTCAGAGGCTAAAGACTCCAAAGCAGACATTTTTCCTGCTCCCTGCCAGCAGTCAGGTGCCTAAGGATGATGTCTTGTATTACTCTCATAATCACTCACTCCTATTAGCAGACTAATTCAGCAGACAATGAATTCTTACCCTAGCAGACACTGAATTAACTTGGCTGAAAAGGACATTTATAGATAAGAGACACATTCCTCCCCATGTATTTTTGTTCCCATGTTCCATGTAACCCATGTTAAAGCATTTTCTCTGCTGTTTCTATTTTTTAATTTCTCCCATGACATTACTTAGACCTCAGACATCATGTATGAGTGTCACAATATGGAAACCAAGTAGCTGAAACTCTAGAGCAGTGTGTCTCAGAAAGAGACATGTACAAGAGAAAATGAGAAATCACTTACTCTTTTTCCAGGAGGACCAGGTGGACCTGCTTCACCTGAAGGACCTGGTGGACCCTGAGATGGAAAATGATAAGCTCAGTGGTAACAAAGAATAAAGTTATTATCTTTATTAAATACAACAAATATCTGCAATACATTGGCCCCTTTCAATGGACAGAAAATAAATACCACAAATGTGGACAGAGAAGTATACCTGCTCATTGAACAAATTGTTTCTTAGGATGATCTTTTGAAATTTTTAACAGCTTTTGTTACTGTACAAATGCAATAATTTTTTTTTTCCTTTTCCTGTTTGCAGCAAAACATTTCAGATCAGAAAGTGGCTGCACAGAAGTAACATATGACCTTAGCCTACTGCCTAACTCCATTAAAAACTTTCTTGCTTTCTCTGGTGCTGAAGTTATTACTTTTGCTAAAATTTTTCACTAATGTCTGTTAGCTGCCCCATGGGTGGCTTTCTCTTGAAAAATCTTTTGTGCACTGATAGCCATTTGGCTGCTCCAGCTTGGTAAATATTTCAAGGTTGCTGAACGGTTTGATAAGCTTTTTTTCAGGAACACAACACTGTAAAAGTATTTACTGTTAAGTAAGACATATGGATACTAATTTCCTGAAGTTTGCAGTTAAACCCCAGTTTGTAAATTGCTTCCAACCATATGTTCAATGTACTAGCATTTTTAATTTTCAAACTGTACCATATAGGGTAATTCCCTGATAATCAGAACTTCCAGACCTAGAAAGAGACTTTCCAAAACAGAAACCCTATCTTTTTTACAATAAAAAAATAAATTGATGATGTTTAAATGTGGGAATCTACAGATACAAGAACTTTGATGCTTAATATGGGTATTGCTCAGATACTTCTTAACCTTCTTAAAGCAGAAACATCAAGATTTTTGGTTAATTTCATCAGGTCAGCTAATGAATATTATTTGGCTGTAGCGTTCCTTTCTTATGCTCAGATTTTGCTCTATTTTTAGTGCTCCTCAGCAGCTCCGGCACAAATCCTTAACACATCATTTGTTTCCACTTTTAAAAGAAATTGAGCTCTTGCTTCTGATTGTTACTATAATATGGTTAGTTCTATCTCTGCAAGGAAATAAATAGATATTTTTCAGTATAGTAGAAAAATCATCCACTTTAAAATATTTTAGAGAGTATGAATGTATAGAAACCAGAAATGTATAGAAGTTCAGCAAAAGATACTTTCTTAGCATAGGAGAGAACATGCAGCTGAAATAAAATGACAGAAACAACTTACAGGTTGGCCAGGATCACCATCTTCACCCTTCTCTCCACCAACACCATCTTGACCCTACAGAATTCACAGGAGAATAAACAAAATACAGAATTCAGCTAAATTAAGTAACTTAGTTTCATATATGAATATAAGAGCACTATTTTTCTATAGAGCATTTTCCTAAGGACATTAGTTTTCAAAACTTTTCAAAGATTTCTAAACCTTTTTTAAGCCTTAAGAAATATATGAACAAAAAAGCAACAGATCTTACAGGCAAGACTTCATCCCCAGATAAGGAAGAATCAGGGTTGACTAGAATTTAGTGCAAACCAAGACTAGGCCCTAAACCTGTTTTTTAAGTATACTTACAGCTGGACCAGGTTCCCCAGGGGGACCAGGATCTCCAGGAAAACCAACTGGGCCCTAGATAAATCAGAAAAAAAACAAGTGATGTGTCACCCATTGACAAGCAGGTAGCAATTATCACAAATATTTTATGAAGCATATAATGAATTTAGTTCAAATGTAGAAACTTATATACAGTTCTATATGTAGCACAACTTCAGCAGTGCTTCGTGCATTGTGTTAAATTTATTAAGCTCACTTACTGGGTTACCCTTAGGCCCATCATCACCCGGAGGTCCTTTAGCACCTGGTGGTCCAGCTGCTCCAGGTGGACCAGCCTCACCTTTTTCTCCCCTTTCACCTTTTGGACCCTGTAGAAAACATATGAACACAAAAATGTCATCTGGAAATTGAATGGCTGAAAAAAGATTACAATGGCAAAACTGTTTTTCAGACCTGAGCAATGTTACTCGTCAATAACTGCTGGCATGTGGATGGGAAATTAGGACCTCAGCCTGAGGTTGGAAAACCTGTGAATCTCAGGTCAAGTGCCAACATCTGCACCCTGTTTGCATCAATGAACTATCTTCAGAGAAAAAAACATAGATGTTAATACTTTTGGAAGAAAAAATGGGTACTCTTTTAGGAAATCTTCAGCTTTGTCCTCTAGCTGTTGGTACAAGATGTGGCTATAATTATGTGGAAACAAATGGCATTTTAAAGGTATAAATTCTTCACTGAAAATTTAAAGAAAACATACACAAGTAATCTGATTAAATGCTTTCTAAAGTAAGCACTACCAGATACCTTAGTTCACCACAATAAAGGTTAATAATAAGACAAAACCCAAATACTCACGGATGTTCCAGATTCTCCAGGAGGTCCAGGGTTACCAGCTTCTCCAGGTTCACCCTGTAAATGTGTGAGGATAAATTGATAAGTCATTAGGGAGAATATTTCTATGAATTTACCTCTGTTATTACATATTCTTGTTATGCTTATTCATGTGAACAGCTTACAAGAACTGTCTTTTATTGGGTCTACCTAAAGGAGGTTAAGTTACATATGGTTTTGCAGAACTGGAATCTGAAATTTTAGAAAGAGTACATCAAACTAAGCTTTTCATGAGCCAGGGAGAGTAACCTTCTCTTTGGGGTTTGGAATATCTTCCCTTTTATTAGCCAATGTTTTTCAAATTTCCTGTTTGTCATCTTTCTTTCTAGTCACAGAAAAGCCAAAGAAGTATATTGACTGTGTATATTTTTTTCTCTACAAGATACATTTTGCCTGGAAGCAAGCTTCTACAAATAAGAGAATACTACTTGGAAATGAATGTCAATGGAGTGAAAGTATTATTGCTATAGCTACTGTTAGAATAAAAAATCATATAGAGAAAAACATAAGGATAAAATAATAGCATAACAGTTAGTAAAGCTTTCACCACAGGCCACAAAGTTGTACGCTGTGTGTTTACTGGTGATGGAAATTGTTTAGTAAAGCAGATGGCTTTGAGGATGAAACCATATGAAGAAAATCTGTGCAAGTCAAAGATTATACACTATTCAGTGAATGTTTAAGTTAATTCAGTCTCTTTTTGAGCTAATACACAGTATTAACTCAAAGACCGTCTTTGCAGTTGTTCATTTTAAAGTTTACTTATGACTGATTATTTTCTAGCTCAGTGGTCTGACAAATAAACCTTTATAGAAAACTACTCTGTTAGTAGAATATTGAGCTATTGGCATCACAGACACAGAAATCTGTGAAAGGATAACAGAATCTGCTTTGTGATTGTCTGGAGTGCTGAGATAAGAACTACATATTTTTATTCCAAAAGATTTCTCAATATAACTGCTAATGGGGGGATTATTTTCCCCTCATATATATTCTTTTTCTAAACCAAATGAACCTTGCCAATAATTATGTCTATAAACAAGAGTACTTCAGTGCCGAAAATGCATTTCACTCAATCCGCTCTACTGAACCCAAACACAGATTTGGAATAAATTTGTGTATCCTTCATGTCCTGTATGACCTGCATGCCCCTCTTCATTCTATGTCAATTCAATTAATACAACATGCTTGTCTGTCATTTCCACATGGACAGTATAAAAATATAAATCATAAAATATGATTTTTAAACAAATCTTTTGTAGATACTGAACTTCTTTTTTTCATAGAAGCTAATGGGAGCACGATGACTCCACTGGCGACAGAATTTGGCCCAATGTAAATACTACATTAGATGAATTGAAGAAGATCTGAGTACTCAGCTGAATTCCAAATAGGATAATTAACAGATAACCACAATTTTAGGAGCAATATTAAAATGTCCTTTAGAAAAGGCACTTTTAAAGGGTGAATTTGCCTTTAGAAACTGTGGTATGTTTTATTAGACATACTTAAATTTGCAGTAATCTTGAAAATCAATGATCCCTTTTAGTACTTAATACTAATTTGCTTCTGTGATACAGCATTCATTATTTAAAAAAAAATCTAGCAGATACTTCAGGTCAATTAGCATTAAGTATGTTTTCTAGGAAAATTCATAATCTTCATTTCCTTATCCTCTCCATGGGGTTTACTGAATCTGCAGCATCATTTGGTGCAGATTTTTTAATCTTTTAAATTTTTTTTTGTCCATGCCTACTATCAATCAAATTAGATTTATGTAGCAACAGAGAATGAGGTCTGGAATTAGCAAACAAATTGATATTATTCGAGTTAGTAGATATATCTAACACAGTCCACAATATAGACCCTTTCAACAGGTGTCCCCATTGCAGGACTAACTAACTGAGTGACATAAGACCGTTAATTGTGCCAAGTCTTGCCTGACAAGCACTTGTGCTAGATTAATCCCCTTCTAAGCTTCTTGGAGAGTAAGGTCTTTTTCTGCCTTTCTGCCAAATGATATTGTAATTTATGATGATTCATATTTGATTTGTAATCCACTCTTTACCCTTCCTATTGACAAACACATCTTCATTTTATGATATCATGCAACAAGAGCAAATAAAAGCAAAAGCAAAAGCTTTCTCTGAGATATTGACCCATACTTGGGGACAACAGGGGAACACTGTGTTCTTGAGATCTCAAGGGTCCCTGTTATAGCATGCATGCTGAAATTGGCAGATGCAGGCAGCCTATATGAGCTCTGTGCATAGTAACTCCCCAATAAGCAGCAGCATGGAAGACAGCAAAATTGGAAGGGCTAGAAAATGTCATGATGTTCCCCTTAAAGGGCATCTGTGAAAGATGACACCAGTTAAAGTTTCATCTCACATTAATACTTCTAAATCATTGCTCTCTTAAAAAAAAAAGTGACTCTTCCCTGTATGCAGTCCTTGTTTTTTCTGACACTGATTTTTATATTCCATATATTAGGTACTGTGAAAGGTTTTACTTGTTTTAGACAGCTGTTAAATGAGTTAAACAATGTTTTGATAAAGAAGATTGTAGCTGACATATATTGACAAAGTGCATATTTACAGCTACTAAAAACTGCAATCTGTAGGTTATTGTTTGCCCTTGTCTTTGCATTTTTTGGTAAGGATGGTATTAATTCAGAATCCAATGCACCTTCTCCTTGGGAAATATCACATGTTCTTTTGGGAAATAGATTTTGTGATCTAATAATTGATTTATTCCACCTCTGGAGTTTTTACCTCTTTTGTTATCAGGTCAGATCTTTTAAAAGTTTGTGTGGTCTTTCCTAGGCAAAGCCTTCCTCTGACAGAATTTCAACAAGCCAAGGCAGACATTCTAAACTACAAAGAATCATGTCATTTCACGGACATGTTTAATACTGAATATCTCCTTGGATTAAGCAAGCAGAATGATTTCTATCAGGCTAAGGACAGTATTTTAAAAGTCCTTTATTTTCCTTATTATGACCAGTTCTAGAGAACTGTCCATACAAAGCACAGAGACAGAGAGATAGTGGATGGAAGGCTGTCACTTTTTGGTTAAATTCTGGGACGTGGCGATTTATTTTGTAAGAGATGCAACTTTGCAACTGACTGGGTTGTGAGAAGGACTCAGTTACACTTTTGCTCCTTTTTGCCATCCTCACAAAATAGAAAGACTCTAGAAGACAATCCCTTTTCACATAGGTATGCGTATGTGACATATATATTATGGCTCTGTGGAGAGCTAAATTTAATGAAGAGAGAAATTCTAAAGCTGTGCTATATTTTCTGGGAGGGCTTATGTTTACAAGCATGTTGGAGAGATGGAGAAGGATGAGAAGAGATCACAGTCAATGAGTCATATAAAGTTATTAAAAGTGATTTGTTAGGACAGATATTCAGGTAGCATAAACTGTCATAGACACATCTTGATCAAGTACCTTAGCAATTGTCTGCACACAGGTGTGGAAAAAAATGATATGCACACATAAAGATGTCTGTGCAAACTTGTCAGACTTTTTAAACTTGTGGCCAGAATACTCAATTGAACTTGTCCTCTTACTTCCATCTGCAGTATAAATCAATGACTGATTAAATATGTAAACTATTGATGTCACTTGTTTACTGCCTTGGATTCCTTATTAGTGTACTATTTTAAAAATTATTTTAGAACGGTATCATAGGAAGTAGTATAAACCCACATGAGTGTAGGGGTTCTCTAACATCAGGCTTTTTCATACAGTAAACCAGATCTAAACTCTGAGAGGCTACAGAAAGAATGAATGGGTTCTGCAGATACTCATTTCACATTACTCATTGCCTTTGCCAGTTTAACACATGCTGTGGAAGGGAGAAAGGGTGGAAGAAGGGCACAGTACTCACTGTAGTTATCACAGATTAACCTAAATTAGAAAGGCAAATTTATTTTATTAGGTTCTGTGGATAAGAAGTGTGAGGTTAATGTTACTTGTGTTGTTTCTTGTCTGTGTTGTAAACTCTTATGTCATGTAAAACATCTAAGGCTCAGTTTTGAGAAGCCGTGAGCAACTTACTGGGTGTTTAGAATATCCACATATTAGGTCTTTGATATCAAATTAGAGATAAGCATGTGTTGTTACATTTTGGTTTTCCACTTTTTCTTAATTATAAGCAGAACAAAGAGAATAATCTCTGGGTGGAAGCTGGATTTAAGTGGTTCTAGCTGCATGTAGTTCTCAGGACTTCTAGACCACTCCATGGAGGCTACAGGCATTAATAATACAAGGCTACCTGCACATCTGTATTGCAGATGTCTTTGAACATTTAGGCCTTTGTGTGTACAGCAGAGGGAACAAGCTAGTAAAAATAGATGGCACTCAGTGTGACAAAAGTTGTTTATGAATTGCCAGAAGATAAGGGGCCTTTAAAACCCCAGTATTAATGACAAAATATCTCCTAGTCTAACCATGCAAATATGAAAGTGAGCAAATCTATTTCACTCCCCAACAGTGACAAGGAGGACACCAAAACGTTTTTTCACTCTCTACAATCAGCACTGCATTGCATTACTTGTAGTATTGCATGCCTTTCCTGAAAGGGATGCAGAGGCCAAAGCATGCTGACACAAGAAAAACATTGGGGGAAAAAATATATGGGAAGACAAGGAAAAGAGAAAATGCATGTTTTGTTTAAAAGCGTGAACTGTCCTCCAATTGCAGGAACTTCTCATGACACAACTCTTCATGATTTCTAAGCTTGCAGAACTCATTAAACAGAACTAAAATTAAGACTGAAGGTATCTCAACTAGGAAAAAACCTGGCATGTACTAAAACTTGAGGAGGAGGCAAGTAATTAGAATAAATAAAAACTTCCAAAATAATATACTTGGAAGCTTCTCTGTGTGAGGGCAGAGAATACGGGAAATAAGGAAGAGGAAATAAAAATGACAACCAGTGATAAACAGTTTGAATTTCATGTTCTTGAATTAAATTTGGTGGGCTGATTATAATAGAGATTCTAAA